TATTTCAATTCCAAATTAACACGAACCTATAGTCTGAAAGAAAAGAAGGAAGAAGAACGCGAAAAAGTAGAGACAATCAGATCAGAAATCTTCGTAAATCTTTCAAACATGTAATTACATTACTGTCATCAACAACGGAAAATACTGATAAATTACTTTAGTCGATAGTGGTCTTCAGTCCATTAATATTGAAGGATTTGTACGGACAGTTCATTTTAAACACAAAGGTTTCATTAATTTAGCCATTTTGCAAGTGTACTGATTATTATGTATTAAGAAATGGTAAAGTTAATTTATTACAAGTTTAAAAGTTTACATTCCACGTCAGCGGTGCAATCATAATTGTCCAGTAAGGGGATCAAGACATTTTCTTTCATACCTTATTAGGTAATATTAAATCTAATTTTCTTCATTTTTATTTATTTTTGCCAATAGTATTCAACATTTTTGAAAACATTCTGATATTCATTAAGGGAAATGGGCATTTTTTGAAATCAAAAAATCGAATTTTTGTTGTCTGTTTATTTAATATTGATTTTATTGTTAGCATCTTTTAGTTATGTATTAAATTTTGTAACATTTAGTAGTTAAAAATTATATTTTTGTTCTCTAAAGTAACCTTTATATCAATATTTCCAAAATCAAAGTTCTGAAAATTATTACTTTTTCATTTAATTATTTACTTTTTGTTATATAAAATAATCATCTCTTTCGGGATACATTTAATACTTTTATATTTTGAGAAATTTATCCATCAATTTAATAATAATTGAAATATTTGTTCCTATGGAAGCATGATTTATATTTTTACATGCTTTCCATCAAATAAAAATTTCTCTCTTAAATTTTGTCATTATGCTTTTCACTTAATTATATTTTTAAACTAATCGATATTAAAATAAGGCACAATTGATAGCACAATTGATAGCTTTCGGGTATTACAGAAACTGGGAGTCTCCTCCTATATTGCCATTTTGCCTAGGAAAGCTTACCATGCTCGTCACTGCATGCCTTTGGAATGGAAGTTCGAGTACAGTAATGGTCGGCTAAATTTCACTACGTTCGGGAGTCAGCAGTGAAATTAACGCGAGCAGGGTAGCGTTTTTATTCCGAGAATTGACTCGAGCAGAACTTGACAGAGTAAGAGAATAGATACGATAGGAGGAAGCGAGATAGACGTATGTACTACGTCTAGCAGCGACGGTCGAGGCACGGCACTTCAAAGGGATGCCGCGAGTGAAAAAAGTGAACATGCAATAACAAGAATTTCACTATCAGTAATTTTCAACTTATTTTTATGAAAATTATATTATTGGATTATTGAGATCCTTTTGATTGAAATGAGTCCAAACACGACGTAAATCGGATTGTATTTACGTTATCTAATAATTTCATAAGAAATCACGTAGAGTTAATCATAATGTAAATCATAATGGATCATGTACAGAATATATGGTTTACACAATTATAAATGTAAGACGAAAATGACTGAAAATAAAATTTTCTTTACTGCATGTTTACTTTTTCCAGTCGCGGCATCCATTTGATGTGCGTCTATTCTTTCTTTTCATTGTATTCATTTTCTGTCCTTGTCTACTGAGATCAGGTTTCGCCGAGCTCGCTGTGCTGAGTGGTGGGAGAAGAGTGGGGCTGGGTCGTGGAAATTTAACCGTGCAGATTTCAGTGAAATTTAGCCGAACATTATTGTACTTATTAACATATTCTAAAGCAATAACTTAGATTTTTTTTATTATAACTTTAATACGAAAATTTATAAACGCTGTTGACCGAAAATTGGTTCCACAACGGTATCTAATTAATACGTTCTCTGTTGCTACAGTACATACTGGATAAGGTTGATAAGTAAAGTGCAATGAAATATTGATTGTTAGTGTCACTATTACATGATCCACAGGATGATGTTTGTAATATTTTTTTTATAGCCAATTTGTTGTCTAATGTTGTCTCAACATTGTCGAATATGCTATTTAATATATTTGCTATTTATTTTTTATGGTGTTTTATACGCTATTAGCCTCAGATTTTGAAATAATTTCCTACTTAGGATCAACAGGAGTAGGTGACTAGCGTCTCTAGCGGAGTAGAAGTGAAACACGGAAAAGTAATTCACGTTTTTTGGATACAATTGTGAGACAAATACATAATAAGTATGATATTCATATTTAAAAGAAGTGTACCGATGGATGTACAATGCGTTTTTGGGAAAAATGGAAAAAAGTTTCTTTTGTAAAAATGTACTTTTTATAAGATTTTAGAAGTCAGATTACAAAATTGGACTTTGTACAGAAACTATTTAGGAAATAAAATCATGAGAAAATATTGCTTCTTCACCTCAAAATCTTTAAACTACTAAATCACTAAATTTAAACTTTTTTTTATGTCAATGCGGCTGTTTTTCTTCCTTTCTGCACGAATAGACAAGGATCGTCCGGAGCTTCTCCGTTTCTCCGCATGAGACCCTTATCTCGTTGAACGCCATAGTGAAAATGGGCATTTGTTGTGAGTCGTATTAAAGTTACAATTATTAAGAATAGGAATAGTTAATTTTCAAATTTCAAATCTCAAGCTTTCTATTTGGTATTTTACATTATTTGTACCATAGCAATGTTATTTAAAACAATGTTTTTCAATCGTTTTCTTTTAATTATTCAGGCATCTGTAATTTGCGGTGCAGATCACCGGTGACCTCTATGGCATTCAAGGAGTTAATATTAATTTATTGTTAGACTTGGGCCGTCACTTGTGTTGACTCTTAACTTTTTGGTGCTGTGGGGGACTATAGTCCGTCCAACGAAACGAGTTAGTAAATGTATACAAATTCTCGGGTGTGAAGCAGGGTCGGCTCACGGTACAGCGATCCCTGCATACTAAAAAATAAGAAGTTACTTCTTCTGGAACAATAATAATAGGTCTAAAATCATCTCCCAAAATCATGACAAATAAGTTTTGCGCGTCCTATATACAGGATTTTGCTATGATCGCGGTGTGCGTATTTGAAAAACGTTAAGTTGCCCCCTGCCGTTCTAAGCAAGGGCCCACTGCAAGAGACCGCCGGAAGTTGGCCCTGAACTCGACCCTTGACAGCCAATAGTAAAAGCCGCTCGCGTGAACTCCACGCAACTGTTTTGTTTATATTTACTGACTCGTTTCGTTGGACGGACTATGTACTTGGGGAACTAGCTTAGCAGGTGTTAAAACTTAGTTAAGTTTCTTGACATATTTATTAAAAAAGTATACCACGTTTCTAATACAGTCTCCTAAAATGCTTCTTCAGTAGCACAAGTATGTGCTTAACAAAATATATTCATTTAAAATATTCTATATAGTCCATAGCATGGTCTGGCGATTGTGTAGGCACTTAATTCTTTCAATCCTTTTTTCAGCAAAATGGTACGCTTAAAGTCATTAATCTTGACGAAAAATAACTTTGCCAAGCATACTTTCCCCCTTGATTGCGATAAATTGCTATTTAATATGTTAACATAGTCAATACCAGTCGTTGTTCCATCAATTCTAACTTTCCAACACCTTTCTTAGATCAGCAGCTCCAAAGCATTATTGAACCGCCACCATGTTTAACGGTAGATTGAACATTTTGTATATTGAGAAGATCTGACGATTTACACCTTAAGCAATTTACGCTCTTTTCTATATCTAGCTATTACTTGTTTAATATTCATATATTTGATGTTATATATTCATCTACCTAAAGACTCAAATGATTATTGCAGTTAATATACAGAGTGTTATGTAACTGTTAGTACAATCCGATGATTCTACGAGAAAAAATAAGTCAAAAATGTAGAATAAAATTTTTGCATTTGAGACTTTGTTTTCCAAAAAAATCGAATTTAAAAATCTGCTTGGTACATTTGACCAAGTTTTAACTCAACAGATTTCATTGTAGACCGTCCGGAATAGTAAGCACATTCTTTTATCTCATGCACTCGTTGTTCGATTTATCTATAATAGTATAAAAATATTAAGAACGTTTATTAACATGAACAATACAGTGAAGTCCGCTAAGTTGAGACTTACAAGGAAGGTTTTTATAGGTGTCCGCCTACGATTGTTTTGATTTTTGGATATGTTTTAAAGAACCGAAAAATAAGATATACGTATTTTTTTATTTTGGCTCGTTTTCGTATTTAGGGGATGAAACGACCCCCTAAAGTTTCGGCTATAATAGGTTATCTCGAAAACTATCATAAATAGAAGAAAACTTTTTAAGGAAAAGTTTCATGGCTTTTTATGAACAGATAACTGCTAGCCATAAATTTTCCAAAAAATAATTTGTTTATAACATTATTTTTAAAATAATCACAATTCACATAATAACAAAAAAGAACATAAATCTTTTTCTGAATCTATTAATGTATTATATACTATGTTGGCCTCTTACATTCTTGCATATTTTAATATTGTACATATGCACCGCGCGTTAATATCCATTACGACATCCGGTGTTTACCATGTATACTAGGCATTAATAAAGTTATTTAAAGCTTACAATATTAATAAAAATTATATTAGTACCTACGTATTAATATGCGATACAGATGGTAAGGAATGTAATAAATATAAATTAATTTCTGTTACTAGAAACATGATTGGTGCAATTATATTTTACGTGTATGTTAGGTATGTATATGTGGTATAAATTTATAATCTGAATTTTTTATAAGTGGCACGAATTTATGGAATGACCTAATAATTGTGATTTTAATATTGTGCACTTTACCTCAGTCGATGTGTATCTGTAAAAAAGAGCAGTTTAAATGAGTTATCCTTTGATTGCATTACTATAAAGGTGGTATACGAGGATCCAGTAGGAAATCCATATAGCTACTGGTACATGCAGTTCAGAGGTCGATGTAAAGAGCGCACGGAAAAGCTGTTCACGTGCTGTTATTCTTACCACGAACACTGTTTTCGCATTTTGCTGAAGGCCTGTTAATTTAATTTCACACTGACAGCCTTTGCTGTCGTTTCTGTAGTTATTTCGCGAACCTGTTTGCAGCGTGATGTGCCTCCGGCTAGCCTGATATTCATACCCGGTTGCGGTAGTTTAAGTGAAAGAAAACCGTGAACGTTCTGGAATTTCTAGTTATTTTCAGGTAAACCTTTTTTTATTATTTGTGTGATATCACTTGTAGAATAATTGTTTTCAACGTAATTATTTTCTCTTTCAGAAATATTTGAAATTTAAAAGTGTTTAAAGTTCTTCGTATCTTCTATAAACATCACAGTGTTGTTCGGAACCAAATTAACATTTCTGGAGTTCGAGGTTATTAAAGCATTGGTTCAAAAATTGAAATTCGTTCTAAAAAAAATGTAATAGCATGTAATGGTAAAAACAATTTATTTAATATTTTTTGATATAGTAATAGAAGGTTTAGAATCCCTTGGAAAGTGGGCCCGAGGGCTGCAGTCCCCTGACTTCCTCTCGATCCAGCACTGGTATTTTTCTGTTTTTTCATAATATAAAAATACATACTTAGAATAGATGTATTTAGAGAGAGAAGCCTGTTTTATGCAGTTTGAAAATAAATTTTCTTTTCAGAAATAAAACACTTTTCTAAAGCACACTTCAAGAAATTTAACTATTTTCAATATTTGAAATTTTTACATGATCATTAAAGAATGCCAAATTAAACCAATATTTTTAGAGCAGTTTTAACCTTTAGCTGGCACACTGGATCAGAATAATATGGCGGAGCACACTAGGACGTTTAAGAGCCCAACCACTAAAATATTTCCTGCAAAGAAGCTATTCATTATTTTAATTTGAAAAAATTCTTAGATAATCTTTGAAAGTTGTTTAAACATATTCCACAGTTAATTTTAGTAAAATTAAATACTAAATATAAAAAAAAAATTAAAAAACGTAGCAAAATCGAAGAAATGAGTTTTCACAAAACATTCATAACTTTTTCAAATTTTCGTATAAAGAGCTAAAACTCTAGCTGGACACTTGAAATTGAACATTTTAAGGGAAAAAATCGTACAAACGATGTGAATTCAAAAAAGGTATTTATTTGGAAAATTGAAGGGACGAATTTCAGCCAAAAATGGCTTAACACGTTGGCGTTCTTGCCCAGGACGCCAGCCAGGGCCGGCGTGACCTTTTGCGGGGCCCGGTTCCAAAATTTTGCGGGGCCAGAATACAATATGTTAGTTTCGACAGTTTTTCGAAAATATCTCGAAAACTAAGGCCGAGCGGTAGTTATATGTATAGGAAAAAGTTGTTCAAAATATTGATTCGCGATTCAAGATTCATGTCAGTGTGCAGCAAGTTGTCATCGATTAGTGGATTATGCGATTGCATTTTCCACACACAGCCGAATATTCAATCTACTATACAAGGGCTCCTGCAAAATGTCTGATGAGTTTTCGTAGACCGCGGGGCCTTTCAAAACGCGGGGCCGGGTTCCAGCGAACGCGCTGAACCTGCCTCGCGCCGGCCCTGACGCCAGCGACAAGACATCTCGTTCCTTTCTTTACTTGCCGTATTTGTTTCTGCGCGGGCATTGTTTCGTAGTTGGCTTCCGCGAAGATCTTTTTCTTTTAGACCAGGCCCTCCAAGCTCCACTCTTGTGAATTTGATGCAAATTTTAACTCGGCGCAGAAAATCCAGGTGGCGCTGATGTCGCTTTTCTACACGCATACCTTGTATCACTGATTTGAACATACACAACTAAAGATATCGTGACGTCATGTCGCCTCGTTTTTCAATTGTTTCAAAATTTAAAGAGACTGAAGAAATATGGCGCACAGTGAGTGACAGAATATTCAGGTTCGTGAATTCCATTATTATAATTATTACTATTGCTATTATTATTATTTAAGAATTTTTTAAAATTGTTACTGAAAGCATTAACTGTTTACATTGCTGTTTTAGTAATATATTTAATTTTAATTATTAAAATGTATCTTTAAAGAAAGAGGAAGGAAATATGCAGCATCAGAGGGTGTATTAACGAAAACAGCAGGATGTTCTTCTTCCCCCAAGAGAGAAAGAATAAGAAGAGGATGGCGCAGTGGGTGAAAGTATGTGACAACACAAAGTCTGTGCTTTATGTAAATAATTGTTAATGAAAATATTTATTACAGAGGCTGTAATAAATATTCCATGGCAGAAGCTGCCTCTATTAAAATAGAGCAACAAGATACATGGATTCAAATGAAAAGAAGAAGAAGAAGAAGAAGATTGTAAGTATTCAGTTCACATGGTATTAAGTATAATCTGCGAGCAGAGTGTGTGTTTTATTGTATGTATGATTGTGATTAATTGTATATTACTATTGATATATATATATATATGTATATATATTGTTAGAAACTAGACACACTTAAGGCTTAATATATATGTTTATTAAATACTAAATTAAATACCATAAATGAAAGGTTCATATTCTATAAGCTTATATAAACAAGAAACATGATCGAGCATCGCCATAACTTGTGCTTCTTCTTGTATAGACAACCTAATAACGATCTCCGCAGAGGGCGCTCGCGTTTAGAAAAAGAAAGAAAAATGAGAGAGCACATTTACAAATTCAAAGTCACATTCTCAACACGCCTTCTTGACTTTGAATTTCATAACCAAAAGATAAAAACATACATACATATTATTTGATATCGATAAACTTAAGACCTAGCGCTTCACGAAACGATTCTTTAACTCTACCGAGTGACTTGGTAAGAATATTGGCAATCTGTTCTTTGGTACATATTTTCTTCACACAAATTAATCCTTTCTTCTCATAATCGGCAACAAAATGATAACTTATATCTATGTGCTTAGAGTTTTTAGAGAATTTTCCTTTTCGGACTAGTATTATAGCACCACTATTGTCTTCGTATACACTAATCGGATTACTAATGTCTATATCCAACTCTGATAAGATGCAAGTGCGTAATATTCTGCGTGAGTTGATGCCCTAGAAACTATTCTTTGTTTTTGGGATTTCCATAGAACTGAGTTTCCAAATACTCGTAATAAGATCTCGGTTGTAGACTTCCTGTCCACAATATCTGCAGCCCAATCTGCATCCACGTATGCATCGAACTCTTCACCTTGTGTATAACTGGAACTACATATAAGCTAACTTAATCGAACGTGTATGATATAAATATATTAAGACGCGCAGAGCATATTTAAAATGTGTGTGAGTATAACAATTCTGAAAGCGACTGAGATAGTTCACAGCAAAGGAGATATCTGGACGTGTTCCAGAACCAATATATAAAAGAGCGCCAATTAGATTTCTATATTTTAATTTTCCTTCTACTTCATCTTCGGGTTCCAGTTTCAAATTTATTTCCATAGGAGTTTTGAAACCTTTAGATTCTAACACACCATATTTCTTAGCAAGTGTTTCTATATACTTTTGTTGACTTAGTAGTATTTCTCCTTTCTCGGTACAATGCATTACCTCAATTCCTAGATATTGCTTGATATTGCCTAAGTCTTTCATTCGGAAACGACTGTTTAACATTGATTTGACTTTATCTATAACTGATTTGCTTAAACATAAGATTAACAAATCATCCACCCCAAAATCCCGAAACCCAAAATCCCGACACCCAAAATCCTGACAGGCCAAAATCCCGACATCCAAGATCCCGACAGGCCACCGTGGTAATCACGTCTTCCGAATTTTGGGATAATACCACGACATATGTAATATAAGGAAATAATAAACACAATTTACAAAGTAACATATTTATTGGTATTAATTAGTGTAGTTATTAGGGGGGTCTGGGGGGCACAGCAAAACGAATTTAATATGTTACTATTCAACCGAATATTTTCTATTTCGTTAAGTTCTCACCGTGCACAGTGAACGCGTACATAAAATCTTTAAAAAAATGTTTATTGACATTGTTTTTGTTGATGCGCTGCCATAATAATATTAAATATGATGTCTGTTAACTGTAAGAAACCACACAAAAAAAATCAGCTCGATTCTGACAGGAGTTACACTTCCGAATATTTACCATAAATCCACAAAACTAACCTAACCTAACCTAACCTTACAAAAAGTTACACAGAACTACCCTAACCTAATCTTCCAAAAAGTTATACAAAACTAACCTAACCTAACTTAATAATAAATGCCAATAGTAAATCCACAAATCTAACCGAACCTAACTTGACCAAAATACTTCGTACTACACCAGTGTGGCAATAGATACACAAAACTACTCTAAACTTATGAAAAATACTCAAATCTAACCTAACCGAACATAAACTTATGAAAGTCACTCAAAACCAACCGAATCCGACATAACCTAACTTCTCAGATATACACAGTACTAACCTCACCTAATAAAATATACACAAAATTAACCTCACGTGTGCAAAGAACCACAAAATCAAACCGACACAACCTAAATACCAAAAACTAACTCAACCACGCCACACAACAAAACTATCCTAACCTAATCAAGAACACGGAGTTTTGGATGTCGGAATTTTGGGTGTCGGGATTTTGGGCTGTAGGGATTTTAGCTGTCGGGATTGTGGGCTGCCGGGATTTTGGGCTGTCGGGATTTTGGCTGTCGGGATTGTGGGTGACGGGATTTTGGGTGCCACCGTTACGTACAATATAGCATAAGTTTTAAATCCATTAATCTCTCTCATATACATGCAATAGTCATAATTTGACCTTATAAATCCTTCGCTTTCCATGAAATTGTCAAAACATTCGTACCAATCACGGGGACTTTCCCTTAATCCGTATAACGCCTTCTTAAGCAAACATACCTTGTTAGCATTTACTTTGTATCCGTCTGGTGGATAAACATAGACTTCCGATTTAATTGCTCCATTAAGAAATGCCGCTTGTACATCCATTTGTTCTAACTTCCAGTGTTTGACACATACGACTGATAACAGCACTTTTAAGGTGCTTATTCTTGCGACTGGTGAATAAACTTCTTCTTCTTCCTGATATATTTGCTGGAAACCCTTGGCCACTACACGAGCCTTATACTCACCATTCGACTTAATTCTGTAAATCCACTTTACTTCTATAATTTTCTTATCTGACGGTGTATTTACTACAGTCCAGGTTTCATTTTCTTGCAAGTTACGCAGTTCACTTCTCATTGCATCTTCCCATTTAGCAGAATCCTGCAAATTTATTGCTTCTTCATACGTTTCAGGCACCAAAGCATTGCAATAATTTACGTATACTACGTGATCATCAAGTCTTTTGGGCAATTTTATTATTCGTTTAGGTCGTACTGCCTTCTCTGATTGTTCAGAGTCTGTATCTCTGTTTACTCTATTCTCGTCCTCATTTCTATCCTGAGTTTGTATATCTTCTTTCTCTGTGTTTTCTTCCTCTATATCTTCTTGGGACTCTAAATTTCTGAAACTAATCTGTCTGGTGGTACTTTCAACAAATTGCACGTGACGACTAATTTTTATTTTATCCTGCACTAATATTTTGTATCCAATTGACGTATATCCGACAAGAATGCCTTTTACTGCCTTTGGATCAACCTTTGACGATATACACTCTTCAGGGGTTCTAACATATGCGATAGTTCCGAACAGACGCAGATTTGACACATTTGTTCTTTTATTAAAAAATATCTCGTAAGGAGTTTTAGAAACTTTTGTGTTGGCTAGAAGCCTGTTACCTATGTAAGCAGCCATATAAATGCATTCAGGCCAATATTTCTCATCAATTTTTCCTTCACTTAAGAGGCAACGGGCTCGATTCATTATAGTTCGATTATATCTTTCGGCAACTCCATTGAGTTCATGCGTATACGCAGGACCAAGTTTCAAACAGATACCTTCTTCTTTGGCAAGTTTGAAAAAGTCTTTGTTCAAATACTCCTTACCATTGTCGCAACGAATTTCCTTTATTGTTTTGCCTGTTCGATTTTTCATTAATTTTATATATTCCAGGAAACGACTATAGACCTCACTCTTTTGCTTTATACAATAAACGACAGCGATTTTACTGAAGTCGTCTATAAATGTTACAAAGTACCTTTCTCCGTTATAACCTGTTTGCGTAATTAGTCCATGAACATCCGAATGGACAATTTCGAGTATATCATTTGCTCAAGTACGATTATTCTCAAATTTCAGATTTATCATTATGTTTTCTAGACATATCTCACATTTTTCAAAATTCTTTTCAACCTTTTTTGGTAATCCTTCTGCCAATTGTACTTCACAGAGATGCTTCAAATCCCTAAAATTTATGTGCCCCAATATACGATGCCATTTTTGTATATTGGTCATTTGCAGTGAGGTATTATAGGAATTTGTTTCATTGGGTTTATAATCAGCAACCCTTCCACTCAATTCAAATAATTTGTTATTCCTGGTAGCTGTAGCAATCAATTTTCTACAGTTATTGTAAATTTTTACCGTATTCTTTTGAAAGGTAACAAAGTTATTTTGGTTGACAATACATGATACACTTAATAGGTTTTGTTTTATTTGAGGTACAAAAAAAACGTTCTTTATATCAATTCTCTCCTTTCTTCCAGCAATATCAAAATAGACAGCTATGTGGCCTATTTTGTTGGACATTAGTGAAAAACCATCACCTACTTTTATGTTAGTGGGGTTGTCCAAGTCTCTTGATTCATAGAAATGTTTACCAGTACTGATTATGTGGTCTGAACATCCACTGTCTAGAAGCCATTTAATATTTGACTCACCAATATTTTTTATTTGCTTATTTAAACTCGATGACATAACTTCTACTATAATGGTATTTCTTTGTATCTTATCCTCAACCTTTGAATTTCCAGCTAATCTTGTCGTATAATTCCTATTTCTTGAACCATTTGAATTCCAGTTTGAATTTTCTCTGCAGTAAGCCTGAGTGTGCCCCAGTTTGTTGCACTTGTAGCACTTTCTTTCTTGAAATCTCATATTATTTGATTGATTGCCTCTGGAATGTTTATACTGAACTCGCTGAAAATTATGTGACTGAAAACTCTTATTAGGTTTAGGCAACTTTGAGTTAAACACATGTGTATCATATTTTGGGTTATCAGTATCAGTCTTGCTTTAACGTTTTTGAAACTCTAGTTGTAATTTTGATTTTACATACTCTACAGTTTTCTCCCTTTCTGGTAAAGCGTCAACTATGTCTACAATATGTGACAAATTATCTGGCAATGTTAACAAAAGATAGTTTAATTTATCCGCAGTGCTCACGACTTTGCCTGAGTTTCTTAGCTGATTTATTAAGGTTTCAAATTCGTTAAAAAAATCGGTTGGATTTTCACCTTCCTTCATTTTTAAATCCAGTATCTTTCTTTTACACAGCAATTTAACTGCAATACTTTTAACAAGATAAACTTCATCAAGTTTATTAATCATTTGTTTGGCCGTGTCTTGTGTTATAATTAGTTCCAACTGC